CCGCGGAACATCCTGTTGTTCGAGACGAAGCATGCGGTTTTTTGAATTTTTTTTTTTAACCATATGAAATCGTTTCGGTTTTTTGGGCCAACGCGAGAGACGACGGAGGAAGGAGATGATGTACGCGAGTCTCGCGAAGGGGAAAGAACAGCTGTCCCGGGTGGTAACCGTCAGGTGGTATCCCGTCAGCTCGTCAGCTGCGGGGGTGAGAATACGAAAAAAGGGTTGAGGGGACATTGCGCCCGGGCGGCGGCCATTGACGTTACGTTCCGCGGATCTCTCGTATTGATTAGAAGAAAATCGACGTGTCGATATAATACTATTGTGACCCCATACCGTGAAACACCGTGAATATATATTTTAGAAGTAAGTCTTTCGTAGAAATAAATGATATATCAAGGTTTGAACATGAAGACCAAATAATATTACATATCAAGCAAGATATGCAGTATCTTGTTTAAACAGTTTTTATTGCATTTAAAATACAGTCGTTCTAACTATATATAATTGAGTATTAATAATTCAATTGAGCTGATTTTATTAATTATATTTCAACGTTAATTTAAAATAATTAATATTCCAATGTTGCTTCTTTTCTATAAAAGTAATGCAATTAAAAAAATTAACTACATGAATTAAAATAATATAATAGATATACAAAGTTCAATTGAAATAAATCAGTAGAATCAATGCCAATTTGAGCCAACACAGGATGTTCAAAAAATTCATATTGCATAATGTTTTATCGTACTTATCTGTATCTATTCATTTATTTGAGCAATGATAATAATTATCTTTCCTTTTTAAAATAACAATAATAATTCAGAATAAGTAAATCAATTCCTTTTCTTTTCTATCTAATTTTGTTCTTTCTGCCTCTCGATACTACCTTGCTTCTTTTTAACGGCAATGCAATCTTGATAAAGTCAGAGTAATTCGCGCAGAAACACTGACGAGGCGGAAGAATTATTCATTATCAACTGGTAAGAAAACTTCTTCATCGAAGACACCTGCGAGTTCCGTTTATAGCGGCGAGTTAAGAGGTGAGTTATGCGTGCAAATGCGGTCGTTACAAGCAGTAGATAACGAAGCAACTTTTAAAGCAAATTGCCACATACATGCCGCACGCACGTCGCAATTTTTCCGTCTGTGAAACTTGATTGCTGTTTTAATAACGAGCATGACAAGGTTGCACTCTTAGTCATTGATGACGCAGATAATTTCAAGAGGGGCAGATGCGTTGCGCATTCTTCCTTTTTGATATCATTCTGTAATACATAATTTGAAAAATAAATTCAAAATATAAAAATGCGGTAATTTATCATCCACACTAAGCTAACAATTGCATTCCATTTAGAGATTATGTATTAATTGACTGCGAACGAGATGCTATTCTATTCATCTAAAATTGCGTAAAAATATGAAAATATGAAAAACTCTGATAAAATTTGAATATATTATAATTAAAAATTTATATCTTTAGTGCGTAATTAAGGCCTGATAATTATATACTTTTAACAAATTGTTTTCATTTCCCTTACATAAAAAAATTTTAATTAATTTTATAATTTTGGTTTAATTTTTTGAAGATATTTAGACTATATATATAATATCAGTTGAAAATGTCAACCAAAAAATTAGCTAAAAAAGCTAAAATTAGCTAATATCAGCGAAAACATTTTAGCCGGAAAAACGCCTTAAAATTGCAAAGTATAAGATAACAAATAACTTCGCTTATGTAATTTAATGACCATATTTTGCTAGAGTTTTAGATAAATAACTTTTAAAGGAATAATAAATAAATTCAAATAAACTTTTGCACGAATATTTATTAAAATTTTATTAGTATATATAAAAAATTTGATTTAATTCGTAATGCTATTTCCTCAACTTTAAAATAAGAACTATAAAATACGATTTTACAAAAAATCAGGACAAACAAAAAAATTAAATAACTTTTAGACTTTTAATAAAAAAATAATGATTGGATATTTTACATAAATACCCAAACGTGTAATAATAGAATAATTTATGAAATTTTTATGTTTTTGTGATGCTTTGAAATTTGACACATACATTCCTAATTAATAAATGACAATATCAATCCAAGCAAAACAAAAGGTCATGATGAACATTTAAATTCGTCAAAATTTCTGCAAAATAATTATTAAAAGTCACTTTTTGGTCAGTCACAATTTACTTTAACGTCATTTTTTAATTAGCACAACTTATTGTTCTATTTGAAATGTTTTCCTTCACATGACTATTAATCTGTATGTACATAAAAATTTTTATATTTAGCTACGAATTTTCATCAAGATTATGCCAGAAACCATAAGCGCCCTC